GAGGAGGAGGAGGAGGAGGAGGTCTCGAGAGCGTCCTTCCTGGGGCCATCCCTGGGGCCGTGCGGGGCCGTCGGGGGGGCACTTTTTGGGTGGCATCTTGTGGGACCCTTTGGGAGGCCACCTGTCGGGGCCGTGCTGGGCAGTCTCGGGGGCTCCGGGGGCCGTCTGGAAGCGATATTTGGACATCTTTCCTCCTGTCCCTGCCGTCATCCTCCCCTCCTACTTCCGTCCTCCTACTCCCCTCTCCTACTCCTCCCATTCTCTCCCTCCTCCTCCTCCTCCTCCTCCTCCCCCTCCTCCTTCTCTTTCTCCTCCTCCGCCTCCTCCTCCTCCTCCTCCTCGGGACAGGCACACCATTCACATTTCTGGTGGTCTGTTGCCTTTTCGGGGCGTCTTCATCTGGGGCCCTTCTGGGCCGTCCTGGAGGCATCCTTCCGCCCTCCTTTTTGGGATTCGCCTGCGCGCCGGAGCCTCCCAGGGCCCGGGGGGTGCAGAGGGGCGTTCTGAAATGCGCAGGCCCACGGCCAGGAACGTTGGCGCAGCGCGTCGCGGCGGCGGCCCTGGCTGGCGACGCGCTGGGCCCCGCAGGCGGCCAGCGCGTCGTTCCTCTTCGCGGTGCGGGAGGCTGGGCAAAAATGGACGTGCTTGGCGTGTCGCGTCGAAGCGTCTCCGGGGCGGCAAAGAGGGGGGTGATGACTAGGGGGGGGGGGATCTCATGGCGTGGGCCATGCTATTTCCCCAGATTTCACGGCGCCTCTTCTTGTTTCATTACGTCCCTGGCCCCCCCGTGCTGGGCCGCGCACGTGCCGCCGGTCATGATTTGCACCCCCCATCTCTTGTACACCCCCCTCTTGGCCGCTCCCGAGCGTGGTGGGCCAAAACTGGCGACGCGACACGACGTGCCAACGTTCCCGACCGTGCCCCGATGCTGCGGAGAAAGGCTCGGAACGTTGCCGCTTCAGAAAATGTACGTGCCTGGCGTGTCGCGTCGAAGCGTGGTGGGCCAAAGCCGGGGACGCGACACGACGTGCCAACGTTCCCGACCGTGCCCCGATGCTGCGGAGACGGCGAGAGGCGCCAGCCAGCTGCGGCACTCGGCCCTTGGGCTTCGGCGTTCGGCGTGCGGCTCTTCGGGCCTTCGGCCCTGCCCGAGTCGGGCCTGTCCCTCTACAGGAGGGATATTCAAGGATAGTCCAAAAATAGCCTGCAGACCATTTTGTGAGCGTTTCTTGACCATTCTGGAGTATTCTTGAGGTATTTCCCTACCTAGGCTCTGCCTAGAAGGGTTCTTACTCTCTTTGCTTAAAGGGCCGGGCAATGCTAACCGCCCCGGGCGGTTCCCCCAGTCCCCGCCCCGCGGTTCCCCCAGTCCCCTGGGAGCTTTAGCCTTAGCTTTAGCTTTAGCTTAACTTTAGCTTTAGCTTTAGCTTTAGCTTTAGCTTAGTGTTAGCTTAGCCTTAGCTTAGCTTTAGCTCAGCTTTAGCTTAGCTTTAGCTTAGCTTTAGCTTAGCTTAGCATCAGCTTAGTGTTAGCTTAGCTTTAGCTTAGCTCAGCTTAGCTTTAGCTTAGCTTCAGCTTAGTGTTAGCTTAGCTTTAGCTTAGCTTCAGCTTAGCTTTAGCTTAGCTTTAGCTTAGCTTTAGCTTAGCTTTAGCTTAGCTTCAGCTTAGCTTTAGCTTAGCTTTAGCTTAGTGTTAGCTTAGCCTTAGCTTAGCCTTAGCTTAGCTTTCGCTTAGCTTCAGCTTAGCTTCAGCTTAGCTTTATCTTAGCTTTAGCTTAGCTTTAGCTTAGCCTGCGCCTTAGCTGCAGCTTAGCTTTAGCTTAGCTTTAGCTTAGCTTTAGCTTAGCTTTAGCTTAGCTTCCAGATTAGCTTAGCTAGCTTTAGCGTAGCTTTATCTTAAGCTTTAGCTAAGCTTTAGGCTTAGCTTTAGCTTAGCTCAGCCTTAGCTTTAGCTAGCTTTAACTTAGTGTTAGCTTAGCCTTAGCTTAGCTTTAGCTTAGCTTTAGCTTAGCTTCAGCTTAGCTTTAGCTTAGCTTTAGCTTAGCTTTAGCTTAGCTTTACTGTTACTACTAATGCTGCTTTCCTAGGGGCTCCAACTCCTGGGTAGGGTCGCACTGGGATAATTTTTATTTCTCGTCGACAATCCCCCTGTAGGGGGACACGCCCGACTTCAGCCCTGCCTGGTAGCCCTCAGCGTTCAGCCCTCGGCCTTCCAGTCGTCAGCTTTCAGCCAGCCCTGCTAGGACAACAGGAGGAGGAGGAGGGGGAGGAGGAGGAGGAGGAGGAGCACGAGGACGAGGACGAGGACGAGGAGGAGGAGGAGGAGGAGGAGGAGGAGGAGGAGGAGGAGGAGGAGCTTGGAGGTGTGGCGGGACAACATCACGAGCCAGATCGCCGAGCTCCAGGAGCAGCGCGCGGCAGAGGAGCGGGCTTTGGCGCTGCTACGTCAGCAGCGCGAGGCGCTCCAGGCCCGGGCCGGAGAGTCCTGGCGAGGATGGGAA